TAAAGTGCTGTATGAAAATTTTAAAGATAGTCTCACAGAAGATGATTCAGAAGGACCAAAATCCGTCTGCTCCAGCATAACATAATAAATTCTCTGTGAAGTAATGGAATAATTATCATCAGTCGGCGTCAAAAATTGTTTAAGAACGTGTAAACTGTCCAGTGACCGCCTGTGGTTTCGTGGTCAGAATTCCTGCCTACAGATCCAGAGTATCCTGGTTCGATTCCCGGCGCTACCCGATTTTCTGTGAAGTAGTGGGTCTGGAACGTGGTCCACTCAGCCTCGTGAGGATAATTGAGGAGCTACTTGAATGGAAAAGTAGAGGCTGCAGTATAGAAAACCAAGATAAACGGCCGTGGTGATCCGTTGCGCTGACCACGCGACATCCTTTATCCGTTAAAGTTGGCACTAACTTCAGCGCCGTAGCTCAAGCGGTTAATCGCTGGCTTCCCACCACGGCGGCACGGGTTCGATCCCGGCTCTGATCAAGTGGGATTTTTGGTAGACAAAGTAGCGTTGGGGCAGGTTTTCTCCGAGTACTTCGGTTTCCCCTGCCAATCTTCATTCCACAAATTTTTGCACAGTCACCCTCACCTATCATCTGGGGCTGGAGCAGGAAAAGATCATAGATACATTTCTAAAATATGCAAATATAGAATTACATTTGAATTTAGTTTGACAGGCCGACTCGTTCTTGTATTTCCTTACGTTAAGGGTCAGTCCTCCTGAATATTGTGAAGTATTCCTAAACGCATGTCTTTTTACGGTTAGTGAGTCTGTTCAGGGAGTTCGCTTTTCTTTGAGGGTCGCTAGTATTCGTCTCAGTCGATACTTTGACCCTGACGAGCAAGGGGCCGTATTCATTCGATCGTCATGCGAGTAATATAGCTGTAGCGATCAATCAACGCAGAGACTGCAATTGAGAACATTTGTCATGCCTGTTCACGTATATCTCGCAATCTTAGACATCACAAGTGTTATCTACAGTCTTGTCGCAATTTATGACCCATGCTATTAGCGGCCACATCTGATCGCTACAAAATACGAGTATCAGTGACTGACGTCAGCATGACTCTAAACACCACTGACCAACTATCAGATGCTGATATACTGTACAGCGTTGCCAGCTTATTTTTGTGTTTATTTCCACTGCCAGGAAGTTCTTGGCCGCATTTGGAGAATTCTTAGACGACTGGAGGTGAAGTGATGATATGATAACTGCTGTATTCTGCAGCATGAATTGGAGGTTGCAACGTCATACACCGCCGTGGCCAATAAATCGAGGCTCCAACGTAGTACCACGCTTAAACGTATCGAGTTTAAGTTAAAATAATGAGATTAATGAAACTCTATGAATATAGAAAATGTGTGTTTACATCTGCCGTTGAAATTTCAACCAGTTAATTCGGATGTAATTTATATCACAGTCCACTGAGTCATTTGGAAGTTGGATGCGAGTTCCATATGCAAATAACATAAAATTTAACAGCCCTAACGAGCATTTAGGCTACGTAGTTGATGGCTAATGAACATTTACATATACACATTTGAATACGATATGAAGTTGTTCGTTGTAACGCATAATTATATAGCCTCACTGCCATTATTATAAAAATCAGTGGACTGTCTGGTGATATGAAAGCGAATATACTAACAGTATGCACGATATATATTCGCGTTGCAATTCGCATGTAATCAACAGATTTCTCACACTTTAAACTTGGCTAATATGTAAATTGCCGGTCACGGTAGCCGAGCGGTCTAAGGCATGCACTGTCTTCGCTCGCTCGGAAGCCGAGATCGTGGGTTCGAATCCCACTCAGGGCATGGATGTTTGTGTGCGTTTTTCTGTGTTTGTTTACAGGTAGAAGAGGCCTTGCGACGAGCTGATCACTCACCCAAGGAGTCCTACCGTATGTGAAAGATCTAGAAAAATAGAAGTGAACGGAGTTCATGGAAGTAGGCCTAGGCCCACTGGAGCTGTAGTGCCAAGGGGAAAAAAATATGTAAATTAATATTTCTTGTACCTTATGCTTGACTCTTACATTACTGTCTCATTGAAATCGATCTCTGTATGTCGAGACGCCCAACATTTTGGAAAAATGAAGAAAGCAGTCTTCTGGGATTTGGCACCGTGTATATGTGGTGTTAACACCAAATCCCAGAAGACTGCTTTCTTCATAGTCACCGCCGTGAAAGCCTCAAATCTTACATAGTTAGTAACGTTCTGGAAAAGAACATTCTGCATCTAACTTCAGGGCAGAAGTACAGGTACATACTCTGAAATGTTGGCACCCACCTCCTAAACTAAATAATAGACCTACTTTTCAAGAAGTTATTCAGACGTTTAGACTGCAGCCTTGACTTTGAAAACTGGT